CCACCAGCACGGCCACAGTACATCTGCTTTCTAAACAAAAGACAGACGGACTTGAGGCCTTTGCCTTTAACCTGACATTTTTAAATAGCCACTAGACACAAGTGGTCAGACCCCTGATTGTGAAAATAGCCTCTCAGATACAGTAGCTGACCCACATCAATAATACTACTATGACTCTCTGAGTGCCATTTAGCAGCGCCTGCAGATTCCTGAGTTGCAAGCTGGTACTGCAGATGCAAGATGGCATATAAGTAAAGGACGTGCTGAAATCTATGTCAGCCTCATAGATTAATGCCATTTAATTATCCACTCACAAAGCATTTGGTCTATTCTGTGATTGTCATTCATCAGTATTTATGCAACCTAAATTACATAGCCAAAAAAATACCAAACAACCAAAAAACAGGCCTCTCAGAGATGTAATTGTTGTTACCACTGGGCCAGTGGTATGCAAATCACTGCCTTGCAATAGCTCTGCTACTCCAGTTCTTTGGACAACACACAAACAGCTGTGTTGGATGGGGCTCTACACAATTAAGTTTCCCTGTCTGGATCATTATAAAAAGAGGGTGCAGAAGTTAAAATAGGATGTAAATAGAAGCTGTTATTTTGTTTACTAATGTCTCCACTTCTATGATAATGTGCTATATCACAGTTGTCCTGTGCATTTCCTCCTCACAAAGATTTTCCCCATCTGCTGCCTTTATACATAATGCGTTTAGTCATTATTTAGGTCTCAATATGGTATTTGGAAGTGTCAAATGTACAAAAGCAGCCAGTTATGGCAGTGTTACTGATAAGAGCAGTTGGAATTCAATAACTATTTCACAGTACTCTCATCCTCGATGCATTATTACTTTGTTCCCAGCAGTAGCACTACACCAATTGTTTGTCAAGACATTCAGATATTAATTGGTAAAAACTAAAATTATTTGTATGATCTTATAACTAGAGGTTAAAAAAAACATTTAAATTTGACTCTGCATCGCCTTTTTCACCAAAGCTGTTTTCAAAACATGATTTTCCATCCATCCAAATGTTACTTCAATGCCTATCTAAAACTATAAAATCATATTTTGAAGGAAAATAACAGGGAGTGATTCCTTTTAACTTTGTAGTACTGTATCTTTAACAAACTAATCATCAGTGAATACACTGATAAAGCCCATCAGATTGGACACGTTATTTGGTTGAACACAAAAGGTGTAACCCACTGTCTGCACTGTATCCTTTTTGCATTGATGTCAAAGAACAAAGGTATCACCAGGGAGCAGGAAGAGATGGAGGTCAGATTATATCCACTGGAGAGCCATCAGGCCTTCAGGTCAGCCCAGGCCAGGGAAACTGAGGGCATGGAGGAAGTAGTGAGTGCATATGTGTGTGAGTTATATAATCACACGTGCACCAAACATACAGCATAGTTGTTACTGTCATAAGAGGCTTCGTGGCTTGGCAGAATTATGTGAAGTAACTTAACAACTTTAATAATTATTTGATTCATTTATCAAGCAACATTCCTAACATTTGCTGGTTCCTACTTCTCACATATGAGGAGTTGCATGTCTTGCTGACTTGTTGCTCTGTTTAATTGTAATTTGAATACATTTGTCTTGTGGACTGAGCTTTAGGAAAAGTGTAAGGGGCATTTGTTTTTATTTTTCTAATATTTTACAGGCTAAACAATTAATAACTTCATTTAAAAAATCAAATAATCATTAGTTGAAGCCATAATATACTATGTGCTGTAAGGATTTAAAATGCAATCATGTATACTGTAACAGTAAATGTATCTAGGTTGCATTAAAGAGACCCTTCCTCAGGCTGCTTTTTCCAACCTAAATGCCTATTAGCAATGTAGGTCACACACACATACTTACAGTAAGCTTTACAGATTAAATTTATACCTAATGCTGTACACCTGAATTCCTTTTCTACTTACTTACTGTGTCTGTGCTTGCATTTGTATGTATGTTGTATGCAGTTCCTGATCAAAGAAGATATGGTGTGAGACATGTGTTAGGGAGCATAACACTGCTAAATGGCTTCACTCCAGTCGTTGTTACATGATCCTCTCACACACAACCTGAAGCATTCACTCCGGCACTGGAGGGAGTCCTTTATTCTCTCGGCTAGAGCTAAAAAAGATGTAATTGGACGGCAGAGCTGCCAGTCAAGCAGAAGCAGTGAGAGACGTGTCCTCAGATGACCTCTCCCACAGAGGCGGTA